ATATGGTATAATAAGAGCATGTGTTAAACACGTGACAGAAGTAAAGTTTTGAAATGGCATTGCGATTTGTTTGTTTGCTTTAGCGCCAAGCTACACAATAGCCTATCTGCGTTCTATCCACCGGATTTTAGCGTTCTAAATCTGTAAACACATCACTAGCTCATCAGGAGGGAAGTGGGGGAAGGCATTGCAGTAAACGTTTGTGGGAAGGTGTTCTATTTCAATAATGTTCACGTTTGTATATTTTGTAGTTTGTTTTACACAAAATCAAGTAATATCAGCTATAAGTCGATGAAAATAAGTGTTAATATTTTAACTTTTAATTATTGTTAAACTCGAGGGTTAGTATTTTAGTTATTGATAAAAGTGTAGTATTCAATTTATTGCTAAATATGCTTATAATTATTCTCAACAATGTTGCATACGAATGGCACATCTAAGTTATCGTTAAATTTTACAATTAGTACTTAGACTTGGTTTAAAAGAAACTGTTAACATTTAAAATTTATGTAAACCTAAATGATAAAATTTAAGAAAAAATAAGTAAGATTATTAAAAAATAAAATTTAATATTAAAAGTTACGTATATTAAACGTGAATTTCAATATACAAATAACTGTTAAATGCGATTGTTTATTCTCCCAGTTATTGTTTAACGTATTAATACCTAAATCATTGTGAAACCTGAGTGTTAATAATTGGTTTAAGTATAACAATTATTGTTAAATGCGAGTATTAATATCTAAACACTGTGATGAATAAGTGTTAGCATCAAATTATTGTGAGTGATATATTTAAATTATAAATAAAACTGTTACAGGTTTGTATTTATGGCAAAGCTACCGAGGCTATCCTAATTTTGAACTATTGAACAGATTAAAAGCAGCTAATCACCAGCAGCTTACCACTCACTATCAACGCTAAAGGATTGACTGTCTCTCTTTTAACACGCGTATTGCACAGATTCGAAACCAGCTCGCCAACTACGAAATCCCGAGCTATACCAAAGGATCAAACAACGTTGCAGTTACAGATGGTTTGTTTATTATTAAGGACATAGGTACACAGTGGGCTATCTGTGCCCTGCCCACCGCGAGTATTGAAAAACCTGAGCCACCAGGGGTTACAGATAAAGACCAATTATAATATTTTAGGTAAAAAAAAAGACACTTAAATTAAGCAAACGATATACAAAATATTAAAAGACATGAGGAAATCGTTTCAGTTTATCTAAATCAATCTCTATTTTGTTAAGGTCCAATTAAAATATGAATGGTAATGTTGAAAAGTGAATCAACGCATACGATACAATAAAACATTTGAAAGTTATCTAGTACTGAGGACTTCAATATGTTGTTAAAAAAGACATTATAGAAGAAGAAGATCACGAGGAAGTCGCAGTGAATACGAAAAAAAGTAAAGATGATAGATAAAAGAATTATCTTATAGATAAATTGTCACAAAGTGAAATAATACATATTATCGTTAATTTAGTCGTATTTACAAACACCATTGCTAAACGTGAGGGTTAGTATTTTAGTAATGCATAAATGTAAGTGTAAGAATTGAATATATTTCTATCCCCCTAGTGGCACAGCGGACTTATACTGCTAGAAACCAGGTTTCGATACCCGTGGTGTAGCTTTGTGTTTAATAACAAACAACAACTTGTTTCTAAATGTGGGTGTAAGTATTCTTCATAATTTCGCAAATGAATGGTATATTTGAATTATTGTTAAATTTAATAATTAGTGATTATATTGTGATTAAACGTTTTAATGATTGTTTGAAGTTAAGCACAAAGCTACACAATGGGCTATCTGTGCTCTGCCCACCATGGGTATCGAAACCCGGTTTCTAGCGTTGTAAGCACGCAGACATAACGCTGTGCCACTAGGGGGCGTGTGATTAACAGCATCTATTTAAAATGTACGCAAGTGAATACGTAAACGTGTGATATTCCAAGGTGCACTTGGTTTATAAGCAAATTAAGTGCCACATTAAAAAGAGCAGCGCCCCTAGTGATTCAGCGGTAAGTCTGAGGGATTATAACGAAAAAAATCAGTTTTCGATACCCGTGGTGGGCAAAGCAGAGATAGCCCATTGTGCACCTTTGTATTTAGCATCAAACAAATATACAAAAACCTAACTCAACCAAAAGATAGGAGATTGAAACAGTTATTTGCTTTTGCAATAACTAAAATCCTTTATTGACAAATATAGAACACTTAGCGCGTAAGGTTTGTTGACTGGGAGCTGTTTCTTCTTTTATTTCCACGTGGAAAGTCTGGTCTTATTATTCAGGAAAAGGAAAGTCGCGAAAAACGGTTGGTCACTTATATAATGCACTGGCCATTTATATAAGCAGATATACCTACTATGGTACTGATCACGAGTGACACAGTTTAAAGTTGGAACCATATATTCAAAAAATAAGATATACTTAAGCCTGTATTGAAATTTTGAAAAACAAACAAACCTGAATACACTTGAGTAATTATATATATATATAATAGCTGAGTTACCTGGCACTGCACGGTGAAAATTTAGATTTGAAATGTATAGATCAGTATTTGTTTCAGCAAAATTATTCAGTAAGTAGACAAAAGCTGTGATGCGAGAAATAAAAAAGCATTTAATCAAACAAAGCTTTATTTGAAATTAGATCGTGTTTGAGATTGTCTTGTTCTTTGAGCCTGAAGTCGTACATCATGTTGCTTCTCTGTTTCTTGCTCTCCGTAAGTTATTTGTCTTAATTTTTGTGCTTGAAGTCTGGTTTGACGATGTTCAGAAGTTTCTTGTTGTCTATATCCAGCTTACCTTGATTCTGACTGAACTCTGGCTTTGTGCTATTCAACAGTTTCTTACTGTCTTTGAGTAGCCTGCCTTTCAGCTTGAGCTCGAAGTCTAACTTTACGTTCTTCCAAAGTCTCTTCCTGTATTTGACTAGCCTGTCTAGCAGCTTGTGCTTGAAGTCTTTGATTGCTTTATTCTTCTGTTTCAGCTGCTATTTGTGCTTGCATTCTTTTAGCGGCAGAAGACTTCCCATAGAAAGGGCGTTTCTTGGGTTGCATAATCACCTGTATCACTAAACAATAATTTGCAATTCACAAAGTTACTAATTCACTTATGAAACCACTTAGCACTATTTAAAGAAAACTGTTTTTGGAAATACTGAATTGACAGCAAGGTGATCTGAGTGTCTCCCGCCATAACGCTTTCTGTGTGCAAAACGTGCTTATGTTTGTATGCTTATTACAAGAAAAAAATGGTGCAATAGTAATTAATTGTCAATTTCGTCACTAAATACTACACCAAATACAAAATAAATAGCACCATTAAATTTCTTGTAAAAAACTGGTTATCATGAAGTTATTTTAAAATTTGTAAGTTAAACCGTTTGGTTTCCTATGGCGAACAAAATAAACAAATAAACAAACTTCCTCTTATATATATATAGATATATACTCACATCTTATAAGTATGAAATTCCTTGTTCTGGCGTCTTCTTGAACCTACATCTTCTGCTCAAGCTGACGACTGTGATTACCTACTAATGTCTGGCACCGCAGTTCCCATAGTAACATACTTCTGTGGAGGATGGTGAAGCCAGTCTTAGACCTGACATCTTGATAATCTTTACCCCCCACTTTGGATTCAAAGACTACGTTTCAACAGACTTAAGGCACAAAAGTATCTTGGAGCTGCATTGACAACTTTTTGGTTGAATGGGGGGTTACAGTAATTACATTTTCTTTTTCTCATGAAAACAACCGTAGATTTCGAGGTGTGGCTAGAAGATTTTTTATATGTGATCCTTAGTTAACTTCAAATACTTGCTTATCTTTATATTCTTAGCGGTAACAGGGAGAAATGCCCGGCTTCATAGTAACGGCTTTTTTGATCGTGATCGTAAGGGCATTGTTCCGAAATGGCCAGAGGTGATGTATCAGAGACAGTTGCTGTCCCATTTGTTTCTGTGAAGGTTTTCTTCTTCGAAACGTTGGGTCATTTCGCTCTACATATTCCAGCCATAAGCCTACCCTCTTAAGTTGCATTGTGGAACGGTAAGGAATTCGGCTATTTAACGTTATGTTTATCGTGTTTACTCTCTGCGCTTTACAACGTTATGGTTACCGTGTTTACCCTCTGCTTTATACAACGTTAATGGTTACCATGCTTGCCCTCTGCGCTATACAATGTTATGGTTACCGTGTTTACCTTCTGCGCTATACAACGTTATGATTAACGTGTTTGCCCTCTGCGCTATACAATGTTATGGTTACCGTGTTTACCTTCTGCGCTATAGAACGTTATGATTAACGTGTTTGCCCTCTGCGCTATACAACGTTATGGTTACCGTGTTTAACCTCAGCACTATACAATATTATGGTTACAGTGTTGTTGAAAGCCTGTTTGTCCATACCATCATTATTAGAAGTTGAGGGGGGGGGGATGTTTACGTAAATATTAAAACCATTCTCCCTTTTTTGATCTTTTCTTAGTTGCTACTAAATTATTCCTAAGCCTGCCTTGTGCTATTCGGTATATGTTGTACTTAAGTCGTTCCTGAGAGTAGTTTCAACATTTTCTATTTTGACCAATTAGATGCTACAAGCTAATCATATTAATCAATGGTACTGCGTCACGTTTAAAATCGTTTCTCTACCAGTTTATGCTATCTTACGGAAATTTTCCTTTATCTTGACCAATCGCAAGCTATCTCTTGATGACGTAGCTAATTGCTATAGAGGTATAAACGAAAAATTTAAGAACAAAACACATACAATGAATTTTTCATGTTAATCTTCACGCTTCGTAACATAATCTGGAAAATTATTATCTTCAAAGGGAATTCTAATACTCTAATAAATTATATAACGTATAAATCATAAGAAACGCCAATTCATAGGCTGTTAAAAACTAATATTGTTGTGGTATTATACCTGCTGTTGTAATAATAATTATCCAACAATTCAGTATTAACTTTCCATCTATAAAAACTAAACTACAATAGACCTCGTAATCCACTATCTATCTGTGTTGAAGTTTCCGTTTTGACTCACCATCTGGTAAGTTTTCTAGGTGAAAAATAACATAGGTTTTGTACGACACGTTCTATCAGCGACAATAATTATGAGTAGGTTCGAAAGTCCGCTTTATCATCCCACGTTTATCAGATCAACCTTTAAAATACTGGGCCACTTAAGCAAATGTTTTCATGCGTTCGATCCTGTACGTAAATAGTTAGGGGTCTTTGATATTTAGAAAGAAAAGTAACAAAAGTTTATATCTTATTTTCCTCTTCTATGAAGGGATCAAGAAAAGTCTGTTCATGCCCATCCCTGTTAGAAGTTTGGGGGAGGGGGTATTTTTATGTAAATATGAAGACCAATCTCTCTTTCTGATCTTTTCTTTGTCGCTACTGAATCATTTATAAGCCTGCTTTGTGCTATTCGGTATATGTTTTACAGTAAGTATTTTACCAAGCGATCGCATTGAGAAAATATTATTTTTTTCTGTTTTGAAAAGCT